AGAGCCCCGCGGTGGCGGCTGCGGCGTCCCGGCCGTTGGGCGCTTTGTCCGCTGCGGCGCCGCCGTTAGTGGGGTGCGGCCTCGAGCCGAGCTGGGAGGGCTCCGGGAGAGGAGTGCTCCTGCGGACAACTGCTTCCGAGCGCGCATTTTCATTAAAAAAAAAAAGGCAAGCAAATAGGTTCTGCCTTGATCAACTGGATGATTCAGTTGCTTAAAAACATCCTAGCGCAGCCTGCTTCAAAGTTTAATAACTGATGTAGGGCTGCAGCAGGCTTGGGATGCTTAGGCCTTTGGTCTATGAATAGGTCTGAGGTGGTTTTATCTGCTTGGGATGGGGAGGAAGGGGATCTCACTGCGTGGAATTCTGATTTTTGCTCTTTCTCTTCTCTTGAGCCTAGTAGTCTGAAACATGAAGCCGCTGAATGGTAACAGCAGGTTACCTAAAGATGTAATAGGATTTTTCTTGTGATGTCTTGAGCTAAACTGTATTACCTTTTTTGAAATATTACCAGGCAAAGTGTGAATGGCTTGTGAAGTTGTAGGAAGCCCAGTAGAATATCAAGCTGTAGTGCTCCAGGCTGAGTAAATAACAAGTAAGCAGGTGAAATGGCTCCAGGCTACTTCATGGGAAGGCAGATTCCCTCGGCTGTGTGTTTTCTGGAGCCTTCTGCATAGCTGCGGGTGGCTGGAGGGTAAATTTGATTGTCTTGGTGGTTCACCTAGCAATTAACTTTTTGGTTAGTTTCTATTTGGGCTGACAGTGAACACCCGTTTGATAAGACTTGGAGCAAGTATCAAGAGACTGTAGGTACTACAGGACTAGGGGGAGAACAGAAGAAGGAAGATAGAGTTTGGTGTTTACTTAGGTTAAAACAATAATAAAGGAAGGTGTTTGTATGTGTTCCCCCTAGAGCTTTCTTGCAGTTCTAAAAAGCTGCTGGCTATGTGTTTGTCTCCTTGTAAAAGGGAAAATGTTTCCTTAGGAGTGAGTGGGATAAAACTTTGTAACAAGTTGTCCAGAGTTCTAGAATTTCTGACTATGGAGGCACAGGAACTGCCTTGTAGAAGCTGGTGAACAGTTTGATGCAGCTCAGGAGCTAGTCTTGCTTGTTAGGCAGTTGAACCATGAGAACTATAAGAAACTACATCTTTTGTGGGTATCTTCATGTGCAGTTACAAAATTTAGCTGGTGGCTGCTTCAGTTGCTTGCAGTTCATAGCAAAAATCTGTCCAGGTTTCCTCACATTTTGCTCTGATAAACTAGTCCTATTATTAGATGGGAGTAGGTGGAGTCCTGTTATCTGATTCACTTTTTTTGTAATTAAATTTCTTGAATTCTCACTGATTTTAGGGCAAATTGAAAGATGACTGATACAGATGAATCCCAAGCCTCTGATTCTGATCAAGACGTAATATTCATTCAGCAGAAAGATTCATCTGAGGCATATGAATGCGAGTTAAATACACCAAGGGGAGATTCAGGCTCTGGACAGAAGGGTGCTACCCCTGCTGAGAAGTCCTCAGATGAGCTTGGTAGTGGATGTAAATCAACCGCTTCAGCCATAGTCCTTCTGGACAGCAGTGCTTCAGAAACGTGAGTCTTCTGTAGTTTCTTGAAATACTTCATGTCTGATGAATTGTAAATGTAAGCAGTCCTCTGAAAGTGTTATTTCTTCTCCTTTAGGGATCTTTCTGCTTCCAGTGACAGTGAAAGCAACACTAAGAGCACCACTCTACCTTCCAAGCAAAAAGTGAGATCTCGACCTTCAAAGCAACGGGCAGAATCTCTTGCAGGAATGTCTGATGCTGAAAGTTCAGATTCTTCTCTGTCCCCTGCAAGTCCAGTGATATCTGAAACGGCCAAACAGCAGAAGTCAAATCTCAATTTGAAAGCCATTTTTGCCTATCACTTCAGGGGAAAGAAATTTAAGGCTGCTGCACACCGAAAATTTAGGAGTGGCTCGGGGAAGAGAAAGAAAAAATATGAGAGAACACAGATGCCTGTGGGGAGGCCCTCACTGACAGCATCGCCACAAGAGCAAAAGAAAAGGCTTCTAGATCGAGGCTTTCAATTTCCTTTTGTTGAAAAACATTATGGGAAGAAACATATCCCTTTAAATATGGTTCTAGGCTATGAGGTGAGTCTTCTGCCTGTAGGGGAAATGTTTTGGGTTTTGTACTTACTTTAAGGTAGTGAATTTAATTTGTCTTTGTGGAGCTTTTGCTTGATGGAATGGAGCTGACTGAACTGTGAAACACATTGGTAAATAGGACACTTGTTAAGTAACCTGCTCAGTCTTAAAGAGAAAAAATACTTGAAGCACAGGGGAATCAATGTTAAAACTGTTGATAGCTGCCGTATTTTTTGTTTTGTTTTATAGTGGTAATTAAATACTGCCTAATGCATTTTTTCCTTTAGCAAGCAGCTGCAAAAGGATTTTTCCAGTATGTTGAAATGCTCAAATATGAAGAACATCTTAAAAAGGCTTTAAAAAACCTTAAAGCTAGTGAAGACTTGGAGAGAGAATGCCTGGCAGTGAGGAAACACAAGTATTTAGATGATGAAGGCCCCATTTCCCCTATCCAAGAGACCAAGTAAGCTATTTGGTGAATTTTTTAATTACTTAGGCAGTATAAAACTTGTCAGCCCCTCTTCACCAATCTGAATGTATGTTGCATGTCTGTCACCTTTAGAGGATAGGTGCAAGGTGGATAAATTTAAATATTTCTGAAATTTGCTAAGGTATACCTCTTATAAAGTGGAATTGAGGGGGTAGCATAGTTGCTCATGGTTTTGTGGCCAAGTTGAAACTTCAAGTTCAGTTCCTTTGCTATCCTTCTAACCTGTAAAAATACACTGTGTATTCTGGTATGCAAATATGATCAAAATTGACATTTATTTGGGGAAGAAACTGCTCAGCCACTTGGGATTCAGTGCTTGTAGAATAGGGTATGTTTAATCTTCTTTGATTTTCTTATGGTCTGTTCACTAAAATGAAATCGTAGAAGACAAGTGAGAAATTTTACTGTTCTGTAGCAATTCTACTATTGTTAATTTCATAAAGAAGTGGAATGTTTTATGACAAAGATTGAATAACATTTCTGAATCTCCTTCTTATTCAAAAATCTGAAGTATTATTTAACGTCTTTATGATCAAAGACTTTATGATGAAAATTTTCTTACATAAAGGGATGAAGAAATCGGCAAGATGACTTATTACTTTAAATATATGTAATAGTCTAATATAGGAGAGTCTAGAATCTGTTTTTCATCCATTATTTTTAGTTATCATCTATACAGCTTAGGTGATAAGCCAAAAGTATCTAGCTGAGCCTGTAAAATAATAAATCATTAGTTTGTACTTGGATAAAAGAGCAGGAAAAAAAAACTTAAGTTCAACATGATGAATGCAAATCAGCTGCCCTGGCTTGTCATATCTTTGTATGGTTTTGGTCTTAGGAGACTTCCAGAGCCGTGGCTGTGGAAGCAGTCCTTCCTCTGCCGCTTGTGGAAAAATGTAAAGTAGTTTTTGTGGAGTGCTAACTATCTTGAGATGAAAAATCTGGGAATAGTGGTAGAAAGCAGCTTCATACTTGAGATCCTGAGGATTAGGGAAATCATTTATTTTTTGTCATAAAATCAGCAGTACAATTATCTACTCTGCTAGTTCAATGCTTTGCTTTTATTTTCTTGATTATGGCTACTTGTTTTCTATCTTGCTGACTTCCTAACCTATTTGTTTTGTCGCCCTAAATACTTCACTACTACTGCTGAACACTTTCTGTCCTGCCAGTATTTCTACCTGGGATAGAAATCTGCCATCAGAATTGGTGCTTTTAAGACAACTTAGTGTAGAGGCAGAATTACTCTATACTTAACAAATTATAGCACTTCCATGCACATCAAGAGAAGACTTGGGGGCTCTGGTATGCACAGCTTATACACACTTTAGACTATTACTCTAAAAGTACAAACCTTGATTTGAATTTTACATTTCAGCGATAACAGCTTGGATTGTGATGCTCAAGAAGACTTTGATGCCAGAGTGGTGGTGAGTAAATACTCCTTAACTCACAAACTCTCTAGCTTTCTTTCTGTTTTGATGCTAAACAATTATTTTTTAAAAAAATTACTTTCTTGAGTTTGGATTCAGTGCTCACTCTTTGTAATCCTGGTGTTCCCAATGTGTAATACTGAAGGAAGTTGCTTTCAGAGCCCATATTCTCTTCCATTAAATAATGTTGGAGTGTGTATTCTGAATTCTCTGAAGAATTCTGAGACTTGCAAAGTTACTACCAGAATAGTTTGAAATAAATAAATATCTCAAAACTGGTCTTTTTCATTGACTTAGGAGAACAGCTATTTCATTATAAGCAGCAAAATCCCCAACAAGAAAAAATCAAAGCCAGAAAAGAAACGTGCAAAATCAAGTGGAGCGATAGAAGTAGAAAGTGAAGAATGTGGTGCTGAGAGCTCTGGCAGCTGCAGGGTTCAATTCAGGGGACATAAAGCTCCCAAGTGAGGTGGTGGTGGTCACCCAAGATGGATCTCTTGCTTCTGCCTTGCCTTAAACAGTGGTTCTGAAGTAAACCAAGGAACGTAGGCAGATTTGGCTTCAGGTGAGCATGTTTGTATGTGTGCGAAATTTAAGCTATGGAGTAATGTCTTTTAATAAAAGCCTTTAAAAATGTCTTTTTAAATACGTCTTTTAATAAAACTTCTAAGTGTGCTCTGTGCTGTCCTTCCCAGTAGCTGTGACTTCATGGCTGGCAAGCCTGTTTAAACACAGCTTTTGGAACTTGTATAACTAATGGTTAATCGGTAACTAAAAGTTTAAAATGCCTTCTCACACAGTTGAGCTGTGTGGTATGGAAGAAGAGTCTTTGATTTTGCCCATGTGCATATGTGGATTGGCCTCAGTTTGTGTTAACAGATGTGGTGTTGAGGGACTTGAGGTTGAACTCGATCTTAAGGGTCCTTTCCAACCATAATGATACCATGTCCATATTTTTCATTGAGAGGCTTAAGTCACCTTTCCCCATTCTTGGGACTATTCAAGGGAGGTCTCTTCCAACCTTAATGATTCTGTGATTATTTTTCAGTATTTAACGGAGACGTAGCTTAACCCAGAGAACCGAAACTTAAGCCAATAGATACCAACAGAAAAGAACAAAATATCGAAATAGTTTCTTAACATGGAGATGTTTGTGCTGAGCATGGGTGTTGTCAGAAAAGATCGACTCTATCTGCTGTTTTAACTTGCTGTAATGTGGCTAAACTGAGGAGACTTACTTCAGGTGGTGTTCTGTTAATGAGAATCTGAAGCATTGCATTGTTTATGTACTTCTGATTAGGCTTCCAAATATTGGTAAAGATAACTTGGGGTTTCACTAATGCGACTTGATAGTTTTAAGGAATAAGACTGCAAAATTTACTCTTCAGTAGTTGAAGATTTTATTTAATATTGGTCCGAAATTAATGGTTGAATGCAACTCTTTTAGGCATGTACATCAGAAATGCTCTATATGGCTTGAAAGACTCATCCTGGATCCAGGAGAGGAATGCTTACCAGGTGAGGCACAGCAGGGTGGCATGTGGAGTCCCACTCATTCTGTAGTTCACATGATGAATTTTTCTGTTCAACTGCTGAGTGACTCAGAAATGAACTAAATTTTGATTCTGATTAGAACTGAATCAGTAGACATGAAAAATGAGCTTGCTGCAGGTGTTAGATTGGTTGCTGAAACTTGTTTTCAGCTTTGTGTCCTGAGTTATTCAGTTAGATCTGACAGGGGTCTTGTCTTTCTTTAATTTTCAGTTTGCTTTTGGGAGATGGAATATTGCTCAGTTTTCTTGGTGTCAGAGGTAAGCTGGTTTTGAATTGCTTTTTCCTTCGGGTAGGTTTTTTTTTTTTTTTTTTGGCACTTTAACTTAGAATGTCTTTGAAAATTTTCCGTAATTAAAGTGAACCCATTACCGTGTTTCAAATCTGTGTAGATTTTCTTTCTGTCTCTTATGGGATTGAGTTCTATGCAATACTTGCTCTTAGCAATCTAACTAAGACTAGAACCTGTGTTTGAAAGAAGTAGAACTTTGAGTTCTTGAAAAATGGTTGAATATGGATTTTGCTAGAAACTGTGTAGGAATATTTCAGTTTGACCTGGTGTTGAATGGAGCAGGGCAAGCTAAAATGTCTGATTTGTTCCTGACACGGCCTGGAGCACTCCCAGGGGAAGGAGGCTGAGAACTGCTGTGCACTTGGTCTCCTGGTGGCACCTGAGCATCACTGTGTCTGCCCATGGCTGCTGCTTTGGGTCCCTTTCCAGTGGTAAAATTCCACCTTCGTGAATTCCAGCTTGTTTGTGTTTGTTCTTCCTGCTCTGGATGCAGGAGCAGAGGGGGCCCTCCGAGGGCAGTAGTCTGGTGTTTATGTGTGTTAGCTGAAGCTGTGAAACCTCTTACTGTGCAATTGTGTAGTTTGATAAATACCACGTAGGGCTCCAACACTACAGGATTACTATAGGAATAACAGGGAAATACAGGAAAAGCAAAATGCCTTTGACCTAGAAAGCCCTGAGCTGCAGGCAGCAAAGGCTGGACATGTAATGGTACCTCCCAGGAACATACTTGTTCGAGTAAGGATATAAACAGAGCATCTTCTTTTGGCCTGTGCTGTAGTAAGAGGACTAACCAGATAACGCTTCAGTCTGTGACACGGCATAAATTGCTCTTGTAATAGAATATCTGATACTGAGTTCTTCCCTGCAATTATCCTTTAGTCCCAATTATAACTCCCTCTAAAAACAGACAACGTAAGGTGACAATTGTTAACCGGGTAAGTATGTAGCAAAGACCAAAAAGCCTGGATTTTTGTATACTGTTGAATGTTTTTTTTTTTTTTTCAAAATAGTGGAATATTAGATGGAGGCTTTTGTGTTTGTTTCATCTTCAGCACTTGTTCAGTTTTTGTCTCTTACTGTAGACAAAAACCTGGAACCTAGTGCTTAGAAAAAACCCTTCTTTGCAACCCACAGCTGATCTCACTGTATTAGTTGTGTTACTTATATGAAGGGACAATATTTGACTGAGTTGATTGTAGAATCTGTGCAGCTACTGAACCTAGGGGAGCAGTTCTATGATCTGTATTTATAGATATGTAATCCAGGTACACTGCTTCCTTTCCAGACTCTCCACATGAGCCCACCTGCTCTGCCACAGTGAGTCTGCAAGTTGCCCACTTGAACTAGTGCAATTCTTGCAACGATTATGTGGCCTTCTCAAGTGCAGTTCTGTTACTTCACCGCATTTTAATGGAAAATACTGAGTCTGTTAGTGATGAGGTGAGTTCTGCTGTGTTTTTGCTGAGCTGCAGTGTGTGGATTTGGGTTTCTTTGGGGAAGTATTTTAGATTCCCACAGCAAATGATCAGACCACTTTTATGGTATGTGCACCCAGGAGTATTTTCCTGATACTGTGCAAAAAGCAGTGCTGCTGTTCAGCAGCTGGCATCATTCATGCTATTGTGCTGCCTAACCCTAGAATTTCTGTTGAAACTAATAGATTATAAGTTTCTTATTTAGGTGCCTCTACCCAATTTTAACCATTTAACTACTATTTTAAACATTCTTCACTGATGGATTTCACATTTTATTTTTACGCAGTAAATACAGTAGTTAAATCAGTGAACATGTACTAAAATATGTCTCTGTAAAGGGGAGTTCCTGTGACATGTCTGAAATGGTGAATGGTGAAATACTGAAGGGTCAGTATTGAGAGACTAGTTTGACCAGGTGGAAATAGCTGGATTGAGGGTCTTAAGAGCTCAAGTTTTAGATTTAAGTTGCATTTTCCAAAAGGAACAAGACTTTTTGGAAACTCAAATACAAGAAGGCAGCCAGTGGAGTATTTGGCATAGTATGTTTGGTTAAGCTTAGAATTAGAAACTATTTTACAGACACTGTCTGAAGTTGATTGTTATGCCTCGTTATTCAGCAGAGGGACACAGCTCATTGTGTGTCTGGAATGGAACAACGAGGCTAGAGGAGTGGCAGGTTGTGCTTTCCTCACTGTAAGGCTGGTTGCAGTGGTGACAATGAGACCTGTAACAGGGCTACTTAGCGAAACAGCTACAAACTACTAGGAAATAAAGATGAGGTGGTTCTGCTGGCTCTGAACTCTGCACTGTCTGCCCAAGTATACGGATTGGCAGCTAGAAAGGTGCATTTTTATAGATGTAAAATGGCTTCTCTTGTGTATTTCCTGTATATTCCACTACTTGACTTTTAAGTGTCTCCCATAAAAAGTCTCTACTTCTGTCTCCTTCTTCAAAAGAAATGTTTGTGTTGTGACATTAGCACTTGGCATTAAGGACGCCTAATTTGGCTACAGTCTACCTGCTTCCTGTTGAGGAAAAAACACCTAAATCTTCCTAGAATTATTAAAATGGTGAGGAAACTTGAAATTAATTTTAAGATGCAGTAATTTCCTGTCGTCTTTTTAGGCATGACTGGAATGTGGAGTCTGTCCTAATGTCTCGGTAAGTCAATGTGATGACTGCTGCCGAAGTCGAGGTTGCTCCACTGCTGAGTGCTGCTTTATTCCTGTAGTACCCAACTGCATGTTAGGTAAAGACAACCATGGAGTACCCCAAACTGGAATCCATTTTATTATTTTTGCCCATAGTGATAGTCGTTTTTTAATGTAAATACACGGGTGATACGTGTGTATCACTGTTATCCTTGCCTGAGCTGTTAGGTGGTGCCGTTTCAGCTGGAAGAGTGCAGAGTTGCTGAATAAACCAAATAGCCACTTTCCTTCCACTTCCATTTGAAGTTGCTGTATTGTGGTGATGATTGGCAAAATGTTCAACTGCTCTGAAGACAGTGAATGAGACCAGCCTTTCTGAACAAAGCTGAAAGAAGTGTTCTTTTCATTGCACTTTACTGTGGGCATCCATGGTGAATGTTTCATATGCTGTGCTTTGTCAGTGGACAGAAAAGATACTGAAATGTGACTCAATTGTCTGTGTTTTTTTTTTTTTTTTTTAATAATTGTGGACCTGTTGCTGAAGGAGTTTTTCGTAGGCTTTTACAGGAAGTAAATTGTAAATTGTAGGATAAATACTATCTCCTTGTTTTTTTTAGTTTTTTTTTTTTTTTTTAATAGTGTCCAGCATACTGGAGCTCTAAACATTTAAGGTGGAAATAATAAAACCTATGTAGGAAAATAGGAGGAATAATGTTGGCATTGCTGTGGCATTGTTTTTACAAGCTGTGTGGCTCTGTGAAATATCATGTATAAATACAGCCTTACCATTTTTTTAGGGCAGTTATGAAAAGCATTAAGTGCTTTGACAGTGTCATTATAGAGGTATCTAAGGAGTAGAGATAAGAGAACATTTTTGATGTTAATGACTTGCAGAAACACAGTTTTCACTTTCTTCTCAGCTGTACTTGGCATTTCAAGTAGCATTAGCTTTTCACACTAAAAATGTGGCAAATGTGCACTTGTTCATGCATCTCA